AGAATTTGATGCTGATTCCGAATATGTATGTGTCATAGCGTAGTTTTGTGGGCAGGAAACATGCCTTAATGGGACGCGTCCTTTAACAAGAATGAAAGATTATGAAATAGCTAATCTAACTCGTGCACTAAGACAAAGCTTTTAGAGGCACAAAAAAAATCAGATACTTCAGTTTTGCTCTTCTCGAAGGCTATTCAAGCTTCCATACGCTTATTTCTGATATGTTTTTACAACTATTGTTCCTCCGTTCTATTTAGTCCGCTCTTGTTTCTTTAGGTAACCACTAACAGGGGCGTCGCGAAGAGGGAAAAGTTCCATTAAATCCTAATATCGGTGAAAAAATTTTCCGTATTTTAGGAGAAAAAGGCAAAATTTTTGGTATATTTTTGCAAATTTTTCTTACAAAAACTATCTTCATGTTCATTTTTTTCTGACCCCCGTTACATGTTTTTTATAGGCCGTCCTAGGTAGCGCTTGTCTAATATTTTGGTCTTAGACTCCCCTTTTCTCGCTTTTTCAGCACCAAAACCGGAGTATCTATACTACACGCGACGCCCCTGACCACTTAACTTCATTTTCTGTTTCTATGTCTTTTTAGACGTAATGCAGCCTCAGCCCAGTTCACTGCTGCTACCGCTACTGCCAAAGCAACGTCACGAACAAGAAATTCTAATTCTGATTCTGATCCTCGTCTGTCACCACGAAAACGAAAGCTAACAGTTGCTGAAGTAAGCAGTGAAGAAGAGGAGGTAGAAGAAGGAGGCAGCGATGATGATGAATCTCTCGAAAGTGATGAAGAAGACTCAAATGAAAGTGACGACGAGCAAGAAAATGAAGAAGTCTGGATTTTGACAAAGACAGAGTTGAAAGAAGAAAAAGCAACCCCTTCAGCTTCCACACTGAAACGACAACGTTCATTATCACGAAAGCCTTCGGAAACTACATTGAAACGAACAAATTCTGTAGCTGCAGCGAGAGTTAGTTCAAATGATCCGACTTCAACGAAGAAGAAGGTAAGACAATCGCTTACTTGTGCTGTTTCTTTTCTCTATTTCTTTGCACATTTAGGTTCTTTCCGATGTTAAATCGAATCAAACAGCTATTTTCAAAGATCTTGGCAATTTAACGAAAGAAAAAACAATTTTTGCACAAGCGAAAGAATGGTAGGTGTGTGAGTTGGCGTCTTCAGTTCACAAAATAAAATATTACGATTTCATTATCAAAAAGCAATCTCTAGGTGATACTCTACCTGATTCGACGCACTTCAGTCGCATTCGATATCTGCTCAATAGAGTTATCTGTTCTGATTCAAAGAAAACTAAGGCGTATAAGAAATGTTGAAAAATAACGAAAAATTTTATTATAAGAAAGAAAAATACTCATACTTATTGTTACTCTATCATCTGTACTTGATAGTAGACTAGACGACAAGAGTATAGATGCGTGGTTCAGTATACCAAAATTGATCAATGCTAATTCCGAATGAATTTTCTGATTTTTACTTAATCCGCTCCCTTTTTTTAAATTGTAAGGTTAAGTGGGAGAGATAACATGAACTAGGCATTTTTTCATGAGTTACAACTTCAAACACGAGAAATATAATTTGTCCGTTATGCCGCATCCAGAATTTTTAACCATGAAGTGCGCATTGCTAACACCTTTCACATCTTTAATCTAATTGGAATGATAAGATTTCTTAACCTTGTTCTTAAGAAAAAGATGAGGCGCAGTTTTTAAAAATCAGGACAGAGACAAAATGTGAGGTTGGTGAGTATAAATGGACATTTCACAGCAGTGTTTGACACGGTCCTCTTTTTTTCAAACTCGCGGGATTTACTGACAATTCTGATAACTCACTCTTTCCATGGTTTCCGTTAGATGTACGTGGTTCAGTCGGGTCATTTATCGCGTTTTTTTTCTGCAGCCCGTTTAATAACACAGATTACTCATGAATGGGTACCGTCTTCCAGAATTTATTTTGCTCTCGGAAAACCACCCTTTCACTTTGTGCTTTCTCTCTGTTGCAGAAGGTCACGGCACAACATCTTCCTCCCTTCAGTTACACTGCTTTTCGCCAGAAACAAAATCTCTAGTTGCAATTGATTGTAATTCAGATATGACCTTAAACGAATTAAAAATGAAATTAAAAGCTGAGTTAAAGTTGCATGACGAAGATGTTAAAAAATTATATATCAATGAAACAATGAAACTGATCGAAGACCATGACAGTGCAACTCATTCAATGAAATTATCAGATTTTAAAATTGAAAATCACGATATTATTTACTATTTTGAGCCCTCTGAAGAGTTTGCTGGCCAAGTTCTATATATTAAAACCTTGACTGGAAAACGTACTACACTTCCAGTAAGTCAATTATTCAACAGATAACACGAACGTCAATGTATTTGGTTCAAACCAGAGCTGTTCGCAAGATCTTCTCTTTTTGAAACATGCTTGCTTTAATCTCAATCTGCTCAAGAATGTCGCACTCTTAAAGTGGAGAATCCACAAGGCAGCATTTTTAGATTTATAAACTGAACGAAATAGGTAACCGGTAGAAAGACGTAACTTTAAATATGCTGTGCATGCCTATAATCGAAAACAAAGAGTAACTTCGCTAATCACAGTAGAAAAAAAGTCTGTAAAACAATGTGCTAGACCGTTAACGTAACGGCGTTCATTTGCTGGAGCAGTTTCTAACCTTCCCCTGAAATTGTCTTTATACTAATTCATATAGGCAGTGATCGTGTACTGTTGAAACTGAATGTGGCTGAGGAGAAAAGATGACAAAAAACAAGTTCTCGTGAAGAAATATCGGATCTGTCCAAAAGAAAGTATCAGCTTCTCATAAAGTAAGCTCGATTTACCCTGAAGAAAAGATGACCTTCTTCTGAGGAAGCCCCGAGTTTTCCTGGAGAACAGATGAAGTTGTTGTGGAGAAAGATCGGGTCTGTCCAGGAGAAAGTATCAACTTCTCACCAAGTAAGCTCGATTTACCCCGAAAAAAAGCTGAACTTCTTCTGAGAAAGCACCGAGTTCTCCACGAGAAAAGATGAACTTCTTCTCAGGAAGCACCGACTCTTCTCCGAGTGACTTGATGAGAATCTGATACTTTTTCCTGGATAGTCCCGATATTTCTTCACAAGAACTTAAAACTCGATGCTTCCTCAGAACAAGTTCATCCTTTCCCCTGAAAAACTCGGTGCTTCCTCATAAGAACTTAAAAGTGAAGCGTCGACAACACATCGTTTTTATTTTTATAAACTGCACAAACGAAACAGGTCACTGGTAGAAAGACCGAACTTTAAATATGCTGTGCGTGCCCATAATCGAGAGAAAAGCGTAATTTCGCCAATCACAATAGAAACAAGTTATGACAAATACATTACGATAATCGGGACATGTGTTAGAGCCTTAACGGCGTTCATTTCCAAGAGCAATTCCTGATCTTCTACTGAAATTGTCCTTCTACTAATTCATTCAAGCTCTACTAAACTCTAAATAGGCGCTGATCGGGTACTGTTGAAACTGAAAGTGGCTGAGAAGAAAAGATGAAGTTCTCGTAAAGAAATATCGCCTCTGTCCGGGAGAAAGTATCAACTTCTCATCACGTAAGCTCGATATACCCCGACAAAAAGATGAACTTCTTCTGAGGAAGCGCCCAGTTTTCCAGGAGAAAAAATGAGCTTCTTCTCTAACGGTAATTTCCCCTTCGCACGAGAATTTCTTAACATTCACAGGAATTTCTCCAATAATCAAAGCACGAAAGTCAGACTACACGAGAGTTTCTCTCGTCCCACGGGCTTTATCTCCTCGCACGAGAATTTCTCTCTTGTCTAGCAGCAATTTCACTTTTCCTACGAGAATTTATTACGTCCGCCGGTACTCCATGATCTGTAACGGCAAGAACTTCTCTCCTCGCACGACAATTTCTCTCTTGTCTAACCGGAATTTCTCGTTTCTCTAAAAGTAATTTCTATATTCCCTCGGGTATTTCTGATCATTGACAGGAATTTCTCAAATGATTAAAACAGGACAATCCGACTGCACGAGAATTTCTCTCTTCCCACGAGAATTTCTCTCTTCCCACGAGAATTTCTTAACATTCACAGGTTTTTCCCTAATGATTAGAACACGAAAGCCACACTGCACGAGAATTTCCCTTTTCCAATGGGAACTTCTCCCCTCGTACAAGAACTTCTCTCTTGTCTAACAGGAACTTCTCTCTTGTCTAACAGGAACTTCTTTGTTCCCTCGAGAATTTCTTAAGATTGACAATAATTTTCCTAATGATTAAAGCACGAAAGTCAGACTGCGCGAGAATCTCTCTCTTCCCGAAGGAACTTCTCTCCTCACGCGAGAATTTCTTGCTGGTCTAACTGTAATTTCTGTCTTCTCTAACGGGAGTTTCTCTCTTCCCTCGAGAATTTCTTAACATTCGCAATAATTTCTGTAATGATTAAAACAGCAAAGTCAGACTGCACGAAAATTTCTCTCTTCCTACGGGTACTTTTTTTCACGCAGATTGCACGAGAATATCCCTTTTCCCACGGGAACTTCGCTCCTCGCACGAGAATTTCTGTCTTGTCTAACAGGAATTTCTCCCTTCCCTTTGAAATTTGATATTGACAGGAATTTTTCGAAGACTGCACGAGAATTTCCCGTTTTCCACGGGAACTTCTATCCTCGCACGAGACTTTCTTTCTGGTCTAACGGGCATAGTGGAGAAAATACTCTTTCTCTCAGAAGTCAGAAGAACTAAACGATTCTAAACTTCACCGAGAATTCTCAAAGAAAGTCTCGAGGGAAGAGAGAAGTTCCCGTCAGAGAAGACGGAAATTCCTGATAGTCAAGAGAGAAAAATGATGCCTTGTGGATTCTCCACTTTTAAGTTCTTCTGAGGAAGCACCGAGTTTTCCAGGAGAAAAGATGAAGTTCTTGCGAAGAAACGTCGGGTCTGTCCAGGAAAAAGTATCAACTCCTCATCATATAAGCTCGATTTACCCGGGAGAAAAGATTAACTTCTTATGAGAATGCACCGAGTTTTCCAGGAGAAAAGGTGAACTTCTTCTGAGGAAGCAGCGGGTTTTCCAGGAGAAAAGATGAAGTTCTTGTCAAGAAATATCGGGTCTGTCCAGGAACAAGTATCAACTTCTCATCAAGTAACTCAAGTGAACATAAGTAAGAAAAGTCAGTGCCTCCTCGAAAGAAGTTCATCTTTTCTCCTGGAAAACTCAGTGCTTTTTCAGAAGAAGTAGTATAAAGACAATTTCAGCGGAAGATCAGGAACTGCTCTTGCAAATGAACGCCGTTAACGGTCTAACACATGTTCCGATTATCGTAACTCCTTTTTCATAATTTTTTTCTATTGTGATTAGAGAAATTACTCTTTTTTTTCGATTGTAGGCAGGCACAGCATACTTAAAGTTACGTCTTTCAGCCAGTGAGCTATTTAGTTTATTAAGTTTATAAAAATAAAATGATGTCTTGTCGAGTCTCCACTTTTAAGTTCTTCTGACGAAGCACCGAGTTCTCCAGGAGAAAAGATGAAGTTCTTCTGAGGAAGCACTGACTTTCACCGAGTTACTGGATGAGAAGTTGATACTTTTTCCTGGACAGACCCGACATCTCTTCAAAAGAACTTCATCTTTTCTCCTGGAAAACTCGGTGCTTAGTCAGAAGGACTTAAAAGTGGAGAATCGACAAGACATCATTCTTATTTTTATAAACTGAATAAACGAAATTTCGTTTATTCAGTTTATAAAAATAAAAATGATGTCTTGTCGAGTCTCCACTTTTAAGTTCTTCTGATTAAGCACCGAGTATTCCAGGAGAAAAGATGAAGTTCTTTTGAAGAAATGTCCAGGGTCTGTCCAGGAAAAAGTATCAACTTTTCATCAAGTATCTCAGTGAAAAAAAGTGCTTCCTCAGAAGAAGTTCATGTTTTCTCCTGGAAAACTCGGGGCTTCCTCAGAGGACGTTAAAAGTGGAGAACCCACAAGACATCATTTTTAGTTTTATAAACTGAACGGAATAGGTCGTTCGTAGAAAGACGTAACGTTAAATATGTTGTGCATGCCTATAATCGAAAACAAAGAGTAATTTCGCTAATCACGGTAGAAAAAAAGTCTCTAAAACAATATGCTAGACCGTTAACGGCGTTGATTCGCTAGAGCAGTTCCTAATCTTCCCCTGAAATTGTCTTTATACTAATTCATATAGGCAGTGATCGTGTACTGTTGAAACTGAATGTGGCTGAGGAGAAAAGATGACAAAAAACAAGTTCTCGTGAAGAAATATCGGATCTGTCCAAAAGAAAGTATCAGCTTCTCATAAAGTAAGCTCGATTTACCCTGAAGAAAAGATGACCTTCTTCTGAGGAAGCCCCGAGTTTTCCTGGAGAACAGATGAAGTTGTTGTGGAGAAAGATCGGGTCTGTCCAGGAGAAAGTATCAACTTCTCACCAAGTAAGCTCGATTTACCCCGAAAAAAAGCTGAACTTCTTCTGAGAAAGCACCGAGTTCTCCACGAGAAAAGATGAACTTCTTCTCAGAAAACACCGACTCTTCTCCGAGTGACTTGTTGAGAAGCTGATACCTTTTCCTGGATAGTCCCGATATTTCTTCACAAGAACTTAAAACTCGGTGCTTCCTCAGAAGAAGTTCATCTTTTCTCCTGGAAAACTCGGTGCTTCCTCATAAGAACTTAAAAGTGGAGAATCGACAACACATCGTTTTTATTTTTATAAACTTAATAAACGAAATAGGTCACTGGTAGAAAGACCTAATTTTAAATATGCTGTGCATGCCCATAATCGAAAGAAAAGCGTAATTTCGCTAATCACAATAGAAACAAGTTATGACAAAGACATTACGATAATCGGGACATGTGTTAGAGCGTTAACGGCTTTCATTTTCAAGAGCAATTCCTGATCTTCCACTGAAATTGTCCTTCTACTAATTCATACAAGCTGAAACTGGAAGTGGCTGAGAAGAAACGTTGAAGTTCTCGTGAAGAAATGTCGGGTCTGTCCGGGAGAAAATATCAACTTCTCATCAAGTAAGCTCGATTTACCACGGAAAAAAGATGAACTTCTTCTGAGGAAGCATCGAGTTTTAAAGGAAAAAAAACGTTCTTCTATAACGTTCCCCTTCTCACGAGAATTTGTTAAGATTCACAGGAATTTCTCCAATGATCAAAGCACGAAAGTCAAACTGCACGAAAGTTTCTCTCTTCCCACGAGAATTTCTCTCTTGTCTAGCAGGAATTTCACTTTTCCTACGAGAATCTATTACGTCCGCCGGTACTCCCTGATCTGAAACGGCAAGTTCTCACCACGCACGATAATTTGTCTCTTCTCTACACGGAATTTCTCTCTTCCCACGGGA